ATTTCTTCATTCTCATTGGCTCAATCTCAGCAGATCCTTACGTGGGCATATCACTGTAATAAGCGTTCATGCTTGGTGCGATTAAATGTACTTTTACTTTAATGGTGGCTTTAATTTATCGTGCCAAATCACCTCTATTTATTTCCTCTAGGTAGATCGCTCACATTGATCGACTTTGTAGCACGATTAATCACCGATGCCACGCACGCAAGCGGTCGCGTGATTTCAGTTCTCGGCCTGCCTCTGGGACAACCAATCACAGGTCATGCCAACTGCAATAGGCCGAGCATGCAGCTGAATCACTCTCGTATGAAGATTACGCATGCACGTCCACACCATACCACGCAAACGCAGGCTCCGTGCTTGCTGTGCGTCGGGCTTCCAACCGCCATTGAGTTTCTGTACAGAATAAACAACTTCTACTGGTCGTATCCCTCCTTCCTTATATAGAACTGGTCATGATAATAATGGTGCTCTGAGCAGACCCACGGCTTAGAACCGTACAAATTGGTGACCCCAACGTGATCAAATATGACGGGTCTCATTTGCACTAACAGCAGATGAGTGCACACTGAGCACAACCATGGCTAAGGCCCCTACAACCCAATTTTGGCCATTAGTTAAACGAACTCCTTTCAGAAAACCTTATTGGGAGATTTAACTGCCAAAAGGAGGGAATGCTGCTAGAGGATGTCGCAAAGCGCCTTCCTAATGTGGCTCATAAGAGCGACAGATCATCCGTATGTATTGCACCGTTAACACGTCTTTGACGACATCTGACACGCAATTTGATCGGATATGCTTGAGTAAAAATTAGTCTTGGGGTCGTGTCATGCAAGGCAGACACCTGGAAAACAGAAAATCAGAAAAAAGTGATACGAACAGCGTTTTCTTTGACTACCTTATCAGATTATTCTTCGAACTCCTCGTCAGCAACAATCGCAGTCGACATAAGGTCGAAATTCTTTCCTGAGGGGACAACCGCTTGAGTCGCAAATTGTTTCATTCAGTCCGCGGTCAATTAAAAATCGTTACAAACTCCCACCTCTATATCCTGAACTGAGACTTTTTCTAGGTAACATACTTGGCCAGAAGGCCAGCGCGGTGTGGCTTGCAACATTTTCGGTGACAATATCAGTGAGCCGAATTGTCGAATAATTATTTTGGCCAATAAGCAATAATGGTGATGCAATTACGACAATTACCGAAGCGGATACGGATCTACTAGCACCAGATACAACCCCTGGCAGTGAATGAAGCCACTCCTGATTTTGATAGGCAGGCGGATGCATAGCAATGGCGTTTTTCAAATGATGAATGCCTTCGGCGTTGGCTACCTGTATTGGGTCTAGAGTGACAGTTTGAAAAGTCAGGTGTGAACATCTCTTTTTTCGGCCTTCGCACCTCCACCTGCATCACGAAACTCGATGCTTCGCTTCCGTCGACAGTTGGCGGAGTATAATATAACGGTCATCAGTTTAGCGTGAATATATGGTTACCTTGAATATCAGTACAGCCAGGTCTACATAAAAAACCCTACAACTCCTCGTTAAGACGATTAATTCAAACACCTTTTTTTTCCAGACGCTGACAGCCCGGTGGAAGAATAAGCTGCCTGTCGTATCGCCTTCGCTGCATTTCGTTTTCAGCTTTTGTTGATGATGTCAACTCAAACAATCGGTTAACTGCAGCTAGTGGTGCCTTCCTTTCATGCACCTTACGCACGTCAATGCTGAATGACAAATTAATGACGTCGTTATGACTCCGTCTTTTCTGCTCCCTTCACGTACAAGAAGTAGAGGTACCTTGTCAATTGTTCACAGCCCTTCATTCCTAGCTGACTCTGATATCCCCCGAGGGAGAAGATAAATCCAAACTTTATTCTTACCAGTTTTTCTAAGACCTCATCTAGGACCTCAACTAGGAAGTAATAATTGGGTTTCCTCTTTTACTCAGCCTTTGTCCGAAAATCACGAATTTCCTTCTCCAGTCTACAAAAGTAATGTATAGCAAAAAATTCCACGTTGCAGACGTCAATATATGTAGGTGACTTTAAACTGCCAGAGAAAACTCTGCCCGGGTAAACTAATTGTATTCCCTACGTATAGATGGCGCAGTTACACATATATTACACACGAATCACTGAAATGATGCTCAGCAACCAAGATATCCAAGAGACCTCAGGGGAAACCTTAAAATAACAGGATCGTAAAACGGAAAGCTCCTCACATTTTTGCGTGTGCAATAAGTTCGGCGTCAGTCTGAAGCTGAAGCAGTTCGCACCAGTCTGTCCAATAGTCATCGATCAGGAGGTGGCCGGGAATCTGACCGAAGAATTGCTGCAGATATAAATGAAATGGGCGCGGTGGTGAGGGCAACCAATCAGAAGGAAGAGATTTCGGAGCATACTGGCGGTATCATATCGTTTTCAGAATTAAGCATAAAATGACTTTAGTCAGGTTCGCCATTTAGAGCTAAGTGAAATTGATGTATATACAGAGAAAAAAACCGGTATACACGCTGCTCCCTTTGAAAATGGTAGATAGTTTCCGGCCATATTTAAATAGGCTGCCGAAAAGGAGCAATTTCGCTAGTAAGTGGTTGCATCACTGATGAGAATGGAATAGGATCACAAGTTAATCTGCACGTGGTGGCTCGTGGTTATTTAAGCGATTATCCTCTAAAACACCTACGTAAGTCACATGTGGAAATATGGGCTCTTATTTGATGTTTGATTTTTCAACAGACTTTATGCAACAGACCAGAATTTGCCGAGTATGTTGTCGAACGACGCAGTACCTATACACATTTTCTCGCAAACTTTTTCTTAATCTTATGTGCTCAAATAACATAAATATTTATATGATTTCAAATCGATTTATGCATTACCATATATTTTGTTAAGTCGTCTGGACTCCCATTTTTTGTCAGAGTGTTCAATCCGCAGGCTGAGAATTTCCTCCCGAATATTTTTATCTTCCCATACCAATTAATTTTTGAACTTATACAATATTTAGTAAGCCCAGGCTCATACGGCTAATTTGTAAGCAATATTAGTGGTTATACAAAACTGCGGACCTTGCATTACGTTCATATCTGTTATCAGACATTAGGTCTCCTAGGAAACAACTCCTGAGTACTTTTATGATCCGAAAAATATTAACATTCGTTTACTACGCAAAGTACCTTTCGATAAAAAAA